CACCCACCGAGGTTTGAAATCAGGACCGTCTGCTGTGTGTGTCTGTGTAGTATCGTCTCTGCTGTCTTCTTCACAATTGAAATTTCTCAGGTTTTCTTTAATTTTTGAGTGTTCATCGGCTTGGTGAAGAGTTTGATCGACTTCGTTATGAAGCGACATCAGTCAGTCAGTCATTCAGTCATTCAGCCGAAAAGAGAGAGACTGCGAATCATAATGCTCTGAACAATTTGGGATCTGACCTTCATGCCACTAGGCGATTGGTTATTCAGTATTCAACGGATTGATTTGTGACGAAATCTCAGCACGGATACAAAAAGCTCGAGCTGCTTTCGCTAACTTACACCATCTCTGGCGTAGGCGTGACATCCGGCTATCAACCAAGGGACTCTCCGTCCTCCTCTTTGGCTCTGAAACATGGCCAATACGAGTTGAAGACATGAAAAGGTTGACTGTGTTTGATCATAGATTTCTACGATCTCTTTCTCACTTTAGGTGGCATAAGAAGGTAAGTAATGTTGACGTTAGGCGTAGAGTGTTGGGCAAAGAGGGAAAATAAATCGAAGAGGTTGTAAAGTTACATAGATTGAGATGGCTAGGTGACGACGTGCTGCGCATGCCTAACCATCGCCTCCCCCGACTGACGGGCATTACTAGCTGATATAGGTGTTGTGGGTTGGAAAAGAGTAAGTGGTGGCCAAACAAAAACATGGCCTCATCAATCCATGAAATCCTTGATAGTTAAACTGAGTCAGGTAGGGAGATGCAGGCTTCCGGGTTGGGGCCTGCCCTCGGGACTCTAAGAATCAATGGCTGGAGACAATTGGTGACATGGCTCAAAATCGTTGTCAATGGCTTACGCAGATGTATTCAGTTTCTGTAATCTTTCATATTCCTTTCTACCAATACTCATTCTGTTTCACTCTTATACTTGTCAAAACTCTATTGATTCTCTTCACTCATCTTCTTGTCCACCTTTGTGTGGTATTTGGAACGTGGCAAGTGGAAGTGCTGCACTTCGGTGCCAAGTTCTATGTTGAATCCAGACGGAGACAGACAAAGGGCTTGCACTTTACACTCTTCGAGGAAGTGCAAATTCACTACTGTTCCATCACACTTTGAAACAGAAATTATTATTTGTATCACCATGATATATGATCTACTGGAGGATATCTCATAAAATTACGATGAAGAAAGCAAGCATAAATGCATGATGGTGTATACAGACTGATTAACTGATATGAGGAATTTGCACATTGATTAAAAATCCCTATTAAGATTTTTTTCAAAAGAATGGTTACTGAACAAAGAATATTCTTTCCGATAACCTACTCTTCATCATCAGGTTCTAGAGTTAGATATGCTTGACAGTGAATGAATGAATGAATTAGTTTTATTACCACCAACATTACTGTTATAATTGTTCCCTTGGGTTCCTAGTGGAACATAGGGCGTCAACTGAACGTCTCCACTTGCTTCTGTCTTCTGCTGTACTTTTCACCTGCATACATATTAATCCATACTGTTTCAACTCTTCCTCACACGATCGCTTCCATGTCACCCTTGGACTTCCCACTCGCCGCTTCCCTTGAGGGTTCCACTCGAGCACTGGCCTGACGCGCGATGTCACTCATCGGCCTCCTCAGCCAGTGTCCAACCCATCTCCACTTTCTCCTGCATATTTGTTGAGCGATTGGTACTTGTTCCGTTTCTTCTCATAGCTTCTTGTTGGTGATTCTTTCCGATCATCTGATCTTGAGTATAGAACGAAGACAGCTATTGATAAAGGTCTGCAACAGGCTGTTGGAAATATTCTTTGTGACCCACCGCCAAGTTTCTGATGCATAAAGAAGAACTTGTTTGACGTTTGTATTGAAAATCCGAATTTTGTTGTTGATGCAGGCTGAGTGACAGCGGAAGATTTCCAGATTGGTTTCAGGTTGATGAATGTGTTTCTCGGCTTCCCGAATCTCGCTCGATTTGACATCGTCGTCCGTTCCTCGTGTTGTTGAGACAATGCTCCCTAGCTGGATAAGTGAATGAAGTAACCTCTTTCAAATCCCTCCCGTTGATGGTGATTGGCGCTGGATGTTGCTGCTGCTGTTGTTGTTGTTGGTTGGTTGGTTGGTTATTTTCATAACCTCAGTCTTGTCTATGTTCACCTGGAGTCCTGTCTTTGCTGCCAGCCTCTTCAACCAGTTTGTCGGTTTCTGCTTGTAAGTCTTCGATTTTGTGTGACATCAAACATAAATCATCCATGCGCGAAATCCAGGTCTTCTAGGTTCTTCACGTCGGTTCAGGATATCCCCGTCTTCTCGTTTCCCACTGTCTGATGCATAATCCAGTCCACCACAATTAGGAATATCATTAGTGATAATAAGCATCCTTGTCTGACTCCTGTGTTTACTCCAAACGCCTCGCTGAGTTTTCCGTTGTGGAACAACAGCATTGATGTTGTTTAAACAACATCGAATCAATAACATCAGTGGATTACAGTTATGACTTATGATTTCTAATTAAACTGTTTTGTTCTCCGTTATTACTATTCCTTTGTCTCACACCTCTGTTCTTTTTCTATATTATGCATTTCTTCTACTTTCTTCTCTTGTTTTGTGTGCTACATGGAGTGTGGCGACTTGAATTGCCACACATATGTGCAAAGTTCTATGACGAAAACCGACTGACCGACCGGATTACAGTTTGATAACATCAACATAACAATAAACTGTATGTCAGAAAAATTAGGAAAGATAATATTACAAATTCATGAATTTATCGTCTCCACTGAAGGCTGGTAGTAGTAGTGGCTGGCTTGACTTGCCACTTCTGCTCACAAAGCAGTGGTTGTTTAAGGTGAATCGCGATAGCCTCTGTTGTTTGAATTTATACTGGCCATTGCTCTAAGACCTTGATATTTGGTCCTCACTCAAGAATATCCACCAGCGTAACTGAGTAAATTTGTGGTAAAAGCCATCAACAGTTCGATATTAGACCACCTGATCCTAACTGGTCACAAAGGTAGTCAGCACTGAAGAATCCTTCTATATCATCTACCAAGTGCGAAATAAATTGTCAAAAACCTCGAAGTACCGCATGCTCCAGACAGCAAAGGCTATCGCGATTCACCTTGAACAACCAATGCTTTGTGAGCAGAAGTAGCAAGTCAATCCAGCCACTACTATTCAGTCAGCTCATCACTACATTAGTTGAAAGGCATCTGAATACATGCGAAAAATGCTCTAAAACCATACTCTCCGACTTTCAACACCCCCCGTATTCCCAAATCTCGCCTTGTATCTCATCAAGTAGAACCAGAAATCACTATAAAAAATCTATGCTCGTACAACACCAAGTACAGGAACTCAACGATACCATACTTGGCCCGTGTTCTAAGTGACAGAGACAATGTTAAGCGCGAAACCTATGACTTGATTTGTTGTTAACAACATAATTTTAGGCTCTTTTATTTGTCTCTTATTTTGTATTCTAAAGTGAACTCCTTCTTAAACATACTTAGCTACCCAAATTATTAACATTGGCTTACTTTTTTGTGCTTTACTCTATTCCTTCTTTTGTGTATCTACCGGTTCCGACTTTATTAGCACTATGAGTATTACAAAAGTGTCCTGTCATTAACCATCATGCAATTATTACTTTTTGTGGTTGTTGTTTTTTTTGTTCGGCAATATTAACTGACAATCTTGGTTGTGAACGCCATTATCACTATCTTAAAATTTTGTATTATGCAGGATTACTCACACTACCACTACAAACACTGCATTAGACCTGACAATAAAAACCGTGAAATGTTATTTTGTGATTGTTTAGTGTTGTTTCAACCAAATTAACTGATCATCTTGGCGATAAACATTCTTAAATATCATTTCATAACTTCTTGTATGACTACAGCTATACTGTCAACATGCATAATCATATCATAGCTTCCACTTCCCAGAACTGAGATATTTTATGTTATTTATTTTCCTTTCTACTTCTTGGTATTTTTTTGCGCGTTTTTTATTATTTTTGTGTTTTTTCGGCTGCTGTTGTCTTTATATTTATTTTTGAAATATTCCTTTTAAATGTTTGATAAAATTCGATGCAAATATTGTAGATATGTGCTGAAAATTCCACACTGTACCACTAGCACTGTTTCTGGAATAAAGCAAATTATTATTATTAGAATTATTGCTACTACCACTACCCTGGCCGGCTTTCAGTAGAGACGATAAATTCATGAATTTGTATTATTATTGTCTATCCTAATTTTTCTAACATACAGTTTATTGTTAGGTTGATACTGTTGAACTGTAATCCACTGATGTTATTGATTCGATGTTATTTAAACAACATTAATGTTGTTGTTCATAACACTAATTCGTTCATTCATTTATTCACTATCAAGGATATCTAACTGTAGAACCTGATGATGAAGAGCAGGTTATCAGAAAGAATATTCTTTGTTCATGTGTAACCATTGTTTTGAAAACTTTTGCAAACAGCCAACGAATTACCACTGCTAAGAATTTTCATTCGGCACTCTAACCTAAATCCAATTAGGGTACGATGCTTCATATGATCGTTCTGTTTGTTTGTTTTTGAAAATCACTCCAACGTGACGGGTTCTCAAGTAGTTATATCAACCAAAACTACACTACACTAAACTCTATGTCTCATACATTTGTGCGTCGGTGGCACAGACGTTAGGACTCTCGCCAACCACACACATGGTCCGGATTGCACCCCTCTGCCGACACTAAATCTGATGTCAATGGTCGGTCGGCCTGTAAAATTCGGGCTAACAATAATATCACACGCTGAAAATTTCATATTTGTAGCAAAAAAATGCTGTTTGGAATAAAGCTATAATCAAAACATAAAAAATATATAAATAGAATGCGTCGATATTGTTATCGAATCAGTCTTAGAGTACACAGCAACAACAAAAACAAAATAATAATAATAAACATTCAATCAAACACTCCCTAAAGTGAAAAACTTACCAAACATATTTACAAAACAAGCAATTGATAATAGAATGAATGTGAAACTTTTTAATATTCGACAATCTAGCATATCGATTAAATAAGCCAGTAATTCATTGGTTCTTGGCGCATCGATTAAATTCTTTACATCTGTGATATGCTTCATAGTCCCATGCTGGTGCTGATGATGATGATGCCTATTGAGTAGATGATGACGACGATGATGATGGGGGTGGTGGTGATGGTGATCCATAATTTTAACAGATTTATTCATAACAGAATAACCAATCACCCCATCACCACCACCACCACAACCCCCACTGCTGTCATCGATAGACAAGGAACCTCCACTAACACCAACACCACCACCGGGAACTCCTTCTTGTAGCAAAATTGGATAACGTTTAGATGTGGACTGAGCGAATCGAATTTGATTGTATTTCAAATCTTTCAGTAAGGCATGATTTGTCTACAAAAATGGGAAACAATAAAATAATAACAACGAAATTATTATATATATATATATATAACAAGTGATTTAAGCGATTAAATTTGAGGCGATTTCTTTATTAATAATTAATCTTTATATTCACCAATTGAGATTTTGCTTTATCTAGAAGTTAGCACTGAAAATGCTATCTAGGGGAGATGGTGAAACGTTCACCAATTTAAAAAGAAATTTAGTGAAGACCCTTAGCCACAGAGTTAGAGCTATATGCTCTGGAGAAGTAATTGAAGATGAATTAAGCATGGTATATGATACTTTAATCGAAAATGGTCATCCTGATAAATTTATCAAGAAACACATGACAAAGAAAGCGGAAAAGGACTACTCACAACCTGTAAACAAGAAGCCTTTATATATACGACTTCAATTCATGGGCGATATACCAAGCGAGATAATTACGAAGAAATTAAGAAAATCAGTTCAAAGAACTTTTAATGCTGGCGAACTACAGATCTTATTCTTTACACGACCGATGGTGCTACCTCGACTGAAAGATGAAGTACCTAGACTAGCCAATTCAAATTGTATCTATCAATTCAGCTGTGCTTGTGATGGAGCGAGTCATATTGGCTGTTGCTCTAGGAACTTGATTTTTCGTGCTCGCTTGAGAACATCTCCCACTATGGCTAAGTAAAGGTGTAGTTAAAACTATTAACAGCTCGATATTAGACCATCTGGTGCAAACCGGCCGGCAACAAAGCCAGCCGGCGTTGAAGAATCCTTCTCTATCATATACTGGGTGCCTAACAAATTACCAAAATCATCGAAGCACCGCGTGCTCCAAACAGCAGAGGCTATCGCAATTCGCCTCAAACAACCAGTGCTCTGTGTTCAAAAGAAACAAGTCCAGCCACTACTACTGCCCTGGCCCTAAGTAGAAAGTATAAACTCATGAATTTGTACTATTATCTTTCATAATTCTTCTGACATTCAGTTTATTTTATGTTGATGCTATTCAGCTCTAATCTAACAATATTATTGATTTGATGTTACTTAAACATTAATGTTGTTCATAACACTAATTCATTCATTCATTCATTATAATGTATATATAATTGTAGAGCCTGATGACGAATTTACCGAAGAGAGTACTCTTTGTTCAGTGTCCATTCTTTTGAAAATTTGAAAACCTTTCAGATTCATCATAGTAAAAAGTAGCGATATATCCCGAATGAATGTTTCGATTCTCAATTTTTTTCTGATTTGCAAGCATTTATTCCCTGACACGAATTTAAAACAAACAACAAAATTTTTTTTAAAAGAACAGGATTCAATGAATTTATCAAATTTCTGTAGAACTCTTTCTTCCTCAGTTGAAAATACTCTACAGCCTCACTTCTAATCCGTAGGCACCTTTTCTTTCCTTTCTCATCTTGAATGCTGTAGATTTACAAAAACTGATTTCAGATTAGGAAGGTTCAATCTCGCTTTTCAGCTTCCGCCGGTGATCTTTTATACCGTCTCATTCATAAATGTCTGTAGTTAGGGCAACACTGCTTTCACAAGCTAATGAAAGAGGCAATTTCCTGTAGATTTCTCCCATTTTTTATGTGATTAGTACTCGTTGTTGGTGGTGAGGTAACTTCATTATCTTATTGATTTCTTCGGTCACTTGGAGTCCTGTCTTCTCTGCTTCTGATAAGCTTTCACCTGCAGGCCTTTGAGTTTGTAAAGCATATGACATAAATCGTCGGCTAAATCCAGATCTTGTGGAGTCTTCTTGTCAAAGTACAAGTATACGATGGAATAACAGTTTGTGATGACTGTACACAGTTATGTGCATTGGGTAATCGACAATTCTCACTAACGAGTAATTATTCCATCTTTAATATGAGTACTTTGTATTACATTCTAAGTGGTGGGGGTAATAGCGTGATTACTATTGAGGTTTGGCTTCGATCGAGTAGTAGGTGAGGAGGGGAAATCAATCGACATGGTCGTGAAGCAGCTGCATTGATTGGGTGAGATGGTTGGGACATGCGTTACGCATGCGTGTCTAGTCGTCGATCGTCTTCCTCGACGGGAATGTTAGCTGACTGACATAGGATTGATCAGGTTGGAAAGGAGCCAGCCATACATTCATTCCCTCAACCTATCGTTGCCAGAGTAACCTTCTCACTATAATTTAGCCTCATTTTATTGTGCAACTTCACTATTAATATTCTTATCATTCTTATTTTATCACCGCTCCACTATTGTCTATTAATAACATTGCTTTTTCATTCAGATTTTATAGAAACACTTTATCATCTTTCCTCTAGTTCTTGTCTACTCTGCACAATTATATTGACTAGTCATTTATTTTCTCACACTTATTACGTCATACCGATTTCTGCCTCTGTTTGTCTAATTTCCAATTAGTCACCCCTTCTAGGGTACGCCTCAAATTACGTAATACCTTTTTTCGAGGAGAAGTTTTAACAGTATCTGATTGGTTGTCTTATGAATTCTTCGTTTAATATAATTACGATTGTACAGCAGCTTATGGGAAAATGAATCGTCGAAAAGGGGGAAAATTTTCTTCATATCTCATTCAAAGTTCTCCTCTGAAACTCCACAGTTCTGTTCAGTTCATTTTAAATCTTCTGATCTGCTTGACAGAGTCGACCAAGATGAAGAAAGCAATATGACTTTATAATTTTTAGAAAAAAAAACAACCATATCTGTACACTCCATAAAAAGCCGTTTCAAATTTCGAAAGTAACGCGTCTGTGGCGCAGTGGTAGAATTACCAGGGAATAATCTCGTTGACTCGGAACATACAGATGATATAGTCCTTTGTGCTAGATGAAGAAGACGTTGGAAAAATACAGCAGAGTTTTCTGATTACCCTGGTCATAAAGCAAACCTCGAATGTTCGGCATGTGGTTGAAGGGAGCTCCTGATATCAAATGTAACATAATGAGACTAAAGGACTGGACTACATCAATTGAATCCTAGCTGAATGACAGGCAGGAGTGAAGTGATGGCTGAGAGTGTTGACCAATTCACTTATTTGTGAAGTCCTAATCAGCCAGCCACAACAGGTTGATTGCCGACAAGATCTAAACACGAATAAAGAAGGCTCGTTTGGCAGTCTGCCAACTTACGCCATCTCTGGCGTAGACATCATATCTGGATGGCTATAGATCAAAAGATGTGTGTTCTGCATAGCAGCATTTAGCTACATTCTCCTTTATGGATGTGAGTGAGACATGGTCATTGACAGTGTGGAAGACATGCAAAGGCTGGTTAGCTGTCTGTGTTAGGTGGTAGGTGTAATATGTTGAGCAATATTTAGGTTAGGCTTCGATCGAGTAGTAGGTGAGGAGGGGAAATCAATCGACATGGTCGTGAAGCAGTTACACCGATTGAATGAGATGGTTAGGACATATGTTACGCATGCATGTCTAGACATCGATCGTCTTCCTCGACGGGGAATGTTAGCTGACTGACATACGACTGATCAGGTTGGAAAGGAGCCAGCTAGTTGTGACTAAACCAATGCTTTAAATTAGTTGATGAAATCCATAACACTTTGTTAAAGTCAGCCACGTTGGGGTGCAGTATAGACTGCTTGGCTGGTTGGGACTTTAGAGATACTAAGAACCAAATGAAGACTAGAGACAGTTAATGATATTTGCTGACAATCATTCTCAATGGCTGGTGCAGATGCACTTATTCTTTGTGATTTGTCATATCCAATTATAAACTGCATTGTTCCTCTATATTACTATTCTCCCCTCCCCTTTACTTTCTTCACTTATTTTGTGTGCTATATGGAGGGAAGTTTGCCGACGTGAAGTGGTGCACACCTGTGCGAAAAAGTTGAAAAAACTCACACTCAGTCTCAAAATTCTTGCCTACCACCGACACACAACAGCAGGTCGGAGTTCAATTCATAAACCAGCGTACTTCTAATAGTCTATAATATATTTTTATTGTTCCCTTGGGTTCCTAGTGGAACATAGGGCTTCAACTACACGTCTCCAATTGCTTGTCTTCTGCTGTACTTTTCACCTGCATACATATTAATCCATACTGTTTCAACTCTTCCTCACACGACCTCCTCCATGTCACCCTTGGACGTCCCACTCGCCTCTTCCCTTTCGAGTTCCACTCGAGCACTGGCCTGACGCGCGATGTCACCGGGTGGTCTCCTCAGTGAGTGTCCAATCCATCTCCCCTCTCTCCTGCATATTTGTTGACCGATTGCTTCTTGTTTTGTTTCTTCCCATAGTTTCTTGTTGGTGATTCTTTCCGGCCATCTGATCTTTAGTATAGAGCCAGCGAAGACTGTTAGTTGTTGATTAAGGTCTGCAACAGGCTGTTGGAAATATTCTTTGTGACCCGCCGCCAAGTTTCTGATCCGTATAGAAGAACTGACTTCTTTTAGTCACCTCTAGTTTATTAGCTAAATAATCAGTCTAGGGAAGCAGAAAACCTTGGTCATGAATCTAGCAACCGCTCATCGTTACTGAGAGAAATTACAGAATAAAGCTTGACATTGTACACATTCCCAATCAGAGAATGTTAAAGAATGCGAAAATACTTTTTTCCGGGGTACTTTTCATCAAGCAATCTAGACAAGTTTTTTTATTATTATTATTCTCTTTTAGGTTATGCTTTCTGCAACAACAAAAATATTTATGTTCTCTGTGTTCTTTATTTATTATTATTATTATTGGCATGATAGTTTACAAAAAAATAATCTCTACTATCCCTGAATTTTTATTTACCTATATGTATGTCTGATCATTCGACTTTTTTCTAAGTAAGCCAGTAACTTAGAATAAACAAACTGCTACAATCAAACAATCTTGACAGTTTCTTTTCAAAACAGATCTATTATTATGTATTATTATTATTGTTTCCTTTAGTTCTTAGAGGAACATAGGGCTTCAGCCACACGTCTCCATTGCGTTCGGTTCTCTGTCAACGTTTTCACCTGGCTCCACCACGTATGCTTTCATCTCCTCTTC